AAGACTGGGGGATTGTCAACTTTACCGTTGTGCCTATCAAAATACAGCAGTTGACATCAATAACTTATCCCATTTAATGTGTATCACAAGTATTCCTATACCGTTTCAACGATTTGTTTAGGACAAAACAAGACTACTGGCCCAAAATACCGACACACTGGAGTTACATTTCATACTGCAAGCTACTTGGAGAAAGTACATGAGGGAGTTATTAGTGAATTCCTTTATATAAGGCAGATAAATGCATGTACAGATATATACACAAATGAACTCAGAGACATGTATCATTTGTGGTATTCATGTAAAGCCTTAAGCCTTAATTTGTACCCAACTTGTCCATGGTACATATGAAAATGTATAGTTTTATATTAAAGTCGACGGAGGACCAATATATACTACTCACACTTTGCTAAGGATCACAAAAATTCACAATTATATTTTTAAACGTAGATTTATACTTTGAAATTGTATCCATTTAAAATTGGATAAATAATAATATGGTAAACCCTCTTTGGGCAAACAGCCGTTTTAATCTAACCTTATGCACTTGATACATGAGTAACCATAAAAATGGTTTTCATGGCGCCAATCAACTATTTTGCAAATTATGGAACGAGCCATTGACAAATGAACAACACATGTCAATATCAGGTATGGGATCCACAAGATGCAATGACATACTGAAACCTAGGATCCATGCTTACAGTCAGCTTAGGTAGTTGACCCCACATAATAGTTTTCTGTTGAATCCTTGATTTGATCCTTATCAAAGTGTGAATAGTATATAATTTCATTGTTTGTCCTTGCCTATTATTTATTATCAAATTGGACCAAGAATGTTTGTGTTATATAAGGACTGATGTGGAATAACTTTCATTAAACTAAGCATACCACCAGACATAGCTCCTAGCATCACATTGGAGTTTGCTGTTGAAGTGACCTTCATTAGTCTGCACATCTAAGGTTAGTAGATGTAATCAGTCTGTATGACATATTCAGTAGGGGTTATAGCATGGGGCGTTATTAGTTCATGCTAATGAATACTAAATCATATGCGACTGGACGTTAATGCCTGTAAACATGTCCTATAGAACTCATCGCTCCACCATTGGTAAAACAGACTGATTACAATTGTTGCCTCCTAATCTGACAAGTCGCGATGTTGTGAAGAGAATTGCATCGGAATCAGGAGATTGAAAACATAGAAAAGACGAAATTGTACTAATTTGAGGTACAAAATCACTCATGTGATCACTCATGAAATCGATTCACCAGAGATAGACCTTTCAGGCGTCACGTTTTATATATATAAGCTCAGCGTGTGTGCAAGGATAGTTAAGAATCAGGTCCCGTATTCTCGAAACGTTCGTAGCCCTAAGAATTCTTAACTTTGATAGTAGCAAATGTGTTAAGCATGGTCTTAAGAAGCTCGAAGGGCTACGAACGTTTCGAGAATAGCTATCCAGATACTCCTCTTGAGCTTTCTGTGTCATTGTGTACCAAGCCACAGTAGTTTCTGGCAATAGACGCTAAAGGTTCAAGTCCAAGAAACCTTGGTATCGTCCTGTTAAGCTTCATGTTAAGAGGTATTATTAGAATCAGTGTTCTGCGTTGTTTAGAACCAATCTAACAATCATTTGCTACCTAAACTCAACGATTTACAAATACAGTTCAAAAGTTTCATTTGTTCAAGATGTTGACTTCACAAATGCAAAGGTGCTAAAAAACTGCACTTCGCTACGTCTAAATAACTGACTGATACCATGCATTTACTGTTGTGTCCTGCAAACAAACCCGTTGAGTTGATAGTTCAAGTCTCAACTATATTCTAATGATACCGGGTTCCCCTTTACTGCTTGGTTATACAATTAATTATATCCATTTAACTGTAAACGGGTAACACATCTAAATGTTACTGAAACGCCTTACAAGAAACTTAATTACGATTTTTTCACTTATTTAAATTTCAAATACCTCAGTGGGTCGATAGCTCGATCATTTAGTTTTATAATGATCCTTGGGAGAATCAATCTATAGGTTTCAACAATATTTTAGTTAACATTTCAGTATATTCGATGTTAAGTACTATTCCTAGATACTTTATTCACTTTATTCTAGCCCTAGATATGAAACTGGAACATCATTAGTGTTGAATTCCCTTTGTACCAACTATACCCGTGATAGGTTTGGCCAAAGAGACACAATGCATGGTCTTTCCTCCAACGTTGTGTGATATAATCAAATTAATGTTAGAAAGTGGCATCCCTCACTCATCCTACGCATCTTCCAAAACTACATTAAACCCCTCGTGCTATCATCTCTCACGCTCGTCTTCTGTAACATTCACTCGCGTTAAATTGTGGCCATCGGTTGTTTGCGCTAACGTGACTTCTGAGGCTGCGTAACGAAATCATTAATGCTGCCACTGACTCTGAGACCAAGAAGCGTCAGTTCAGCTGTCAATAAGAATGACCGTGGAGCAAGATTGTGTTTGCAGATTAAGTAGGTCTGACACTTGCTATGTTCCAAGTTTAGAACAGTAATTTGTGTCGACAACAAAAAAACGTTGTTTTGAAGCATTGACCCAGTTGGAAGTTGTCTAAGTCTTCGGGGTTTTTTTTTATTGGTTGTTTTTTGTTTTGTTGTTTTGTTCGCCATTTTTTGTTTTTGTGTATGTGGTGTTGCGAAAAGTTATTGAAAATATCAATGATGGTTCTTGCTGTCACTGGGAATGGATAATTTTGCACCAGCTTTTACAACCAAAACAATATTTGTGCTCGGGATGCCCATTAAAAGTCATGTTGTGGTATAATGTCTTCTGTATGCAACAAACACTACAAACTCAACAGGTTCAAGTTTACCAAAAACACCGAACGTTATAAATGGTTTATACCTACAGCGAGTCCTTTTCCACTGATAATACACAAGACGAACGTCTTTCAGGAGCATCCGCTGAACACATAAATATATATACTGACAGAACAAAAAACACGACCCAGCCCGGCGGTAATGTTTCTTTGGTGTGGTGTGGTCCGTTATTTGTCAGTGTTTGAAACTTTTGAAGATAAGTATACATTTGTTTTTTCTCCGAAAGAAAATACTCGATTTATCATTCATGTTACTCACGTTTCTAAATATGTAAGAAGATGAGACGTGTACAACGCGCTTTGGCCTCTGATGCGAGACACAGACGTATTTGACGTAACCCCTGTACGTTATAAAATAACTGCCAGTTCCCATTAGAAACTGATATCACAAAAGAACCCATTAAATTGTAGAGGAGCAGGAAATGCATGACACGATGTCATTTTTTTCTGTGCAGTTGCTAAGATGGAACACATGTCATTAGCTGTTATCTCCCGAAGATTACTCTACAGACCGCTGCACCACAGCGGACAATGAATGTATGTGCTGCCTTTCAAACTTCTGGGAAAAGAAGATCGCTTAGGCATCTGACATTCTCCAAGCCATAGGTCGATTATACTGTACCAATCACTCTATGACCGCTACATGTAGCTCGTTATCACCCTGCTCAGTGGTGGTTTTCATCCTGTGCTATGTGGTAGATTGAAAAGGATGGGACATAAGATGAACAGATAGATAATGTCATTCAGTCAAAATGAACCCAAACTGCAATCAATATACATTTGCCACTTTTGCTACAGTGTATGCGGGTTGTGTCGAATTGCCAAATAGATTAATCCTCAGTTTCTTGTTTATACTAATGATATTTCCTCTAATACATGTATGCTTGTATATGTGCATATTTAACAGCACAGATCACAAGTAATTAACTTATGTGTTCCTAACTGTCATTACTGCATGATCAACAGATTAAACGTGAGCTCATTAGACACTTACTGGACATATACGAATTGTCAGGTCATCCATGAGGTCATTTCGTGACTGACCAATGTCCATGGCGTCGTGCAGACAAATGAACCACCCACTCGGGACATCACATCAAACAATGTTTTCTTTGCCATAGATCAGATAATAAGATTACTGAGGCGGTCTAATTCAATGCGAAGGGTCGGGACCTACTCTGATTACACTGGAGATGTATTAAGAGGAGTGTTACCAAAGAAGAAGCCAAATTCCAAGAGACTTTTGGTGTCTTATTGATGTTTGTGGTAATTGTTGAAATCTAGTTTTCGGATGAGATTGGACTCATGATCTGAAATGGGAACAGAAACTACAGTTTCGTGAATGACGCCAAAGGGCCTGATTATAACTTGGCGCCTGATGTGCGTAGTATTCCGTTTACACAAATTGGTTTGTAGTACATAGATATGGACTGAACGCTTCGTTTGGCACTTAAAATGATCCTTTAATGTCTCAGGAAGCTACTTTATCTGTGTCTCCCCAACAGTATGTTACAATAAGAGACACTGGTGGTAAAGTCTGACATTATAACAATCATAATGGTTCCAGTCATCAATTTTGGATGTATAGGGGATCTGTGATATTAATTATGACGAATCTCTCAACATCTACGTCAATAGGTTCTAATAAGCAGTTATCATGGCCACACTCTGCTTCAGTTGTTTGGAACTCGACAACCACGTAACCATGCAAATCATGGACTAAAAGAGAAACTGTCGTTACCCTGTGTTTACCTTCGCTCTTGACGAACTTTTCTTAAAGGAGATCATTGATAGCTTCTTGATTGGCCAACATGAGTGATCTGGTGAGACATCTCTCTGAATGATCTTTGACCTTGCATGGGTCAGGTACAAAATGTGAACATGCATATTCATAACCTCTACAATGCAGCCATGAATATGTCAATTCCTCACATATATTTGAAAAGTTATCCATGATCCAAACTGCCTTATTATCCAAATGGATATTTCAACATTTTCAGCTGGCGAACGTCCTTACGGAATCGCACTGCGACAAAATGCAGATGGTATTAGTTTCAGATAGATAGATTTTGATGTATAAATATATATTGTGGTCAGCGTTGATTGTAAAATATGTTTTTATTGATTTTTTAGGAGGCCACGTGTATGCTGCAGCCAATAACGCACGTTTTAAGGACAGTGCCACCAGTTCCAGGGGACTTATTCCAAAAGCAAAGATCAAAACCATCAAGATGACCTTAGTGATTGTGCTCGGTGAGTCTTTAGATGGATCTTTTAGACATTGATGAATATAAGCAAGAGATTATTTTGCAACATTAACCTCTTTCAATAAAATTACTAATATGGCTCATAAGCAGAGGTTACCCTGTTCACATTTATATTTTACAAATTAAACACACATCATTCCGCATTATCTTAGAATAACACGTTAAAAAGTGCAAAAGAAGTCCACAAGACAATCCCGACAGTATGCTGACACAATGCCATTCTTTGATAAGATGAAAGCTAAAAGAATCACTTTGCTTCAAGCAACAAAAACCTTTTCACTTTAATCAATCAGAATTATGCAAGAACGACAAAAGCATAATTGGAAAAAAATATGCTTTTCAAACAGATAACTGAAATCGAACGGTTTTCTCCTTGATGTAAGAAAAAAGATCTGAGGACGTGTCAGGTTTCCAGAGCATGAAAATGTTATCAGGATCTTAAAATCCTTTTAAAAAAACAGTGTGTCATAAATTTAATAAAGGAAGTGGGTATTTACTGAAACTGATACGATTATTTAAATAAACTACTTAACGCATTTGTTTTCGCAAATGATAGCTACTTCGTTAGTGTCCTAATCAGGTATGTCGGTTTGATTTTGGTTAGTATACATAAAAAAAGAGAAATATAAATTCCTTTGACAACTGAATAATCTTTAAAATGAAAATCAAAGCGACTTCAAACAACATTTATGGAACAATTGGCCATGTTTCTTTAGAACATCTTATCCATTCTAGAACATTCGTTTGTTTTATTCTGATGATTTTGCTGTGAAATAAACAAAAACACTTTTTCCACAGAGTTGCATATTGCTGAGATAGATTATGGATGGTTACACATTGGTGAAATCAAAGATATTTTTTAGTTGTTTGTTCGATTGTTGTTTGACGCGACACGCAGCAATATTCCAGCAATATGGCGTCTGCCTGTAGATAATCAAGTCTGGACCAGACAATAAACGGTCAACAGCATTAGCATCGATTTACGCATATGGGATACGATGACATGTGTCAACCAAGTCAGTGAGCCTGACCACCCGATCCCGTTAGTCGCGTCTTACGACAAGCATGGGGTGCTGTAGACCAATTCTAACCCGGATCTTCATGGGTTGAAGTAGTAAGAGGTAAAGAGGTGAATTGAGGGCCAGCCAGAAATGTAGATGAAGGATGATGTGTATATATATTGATGAGACACTCACACTGTTCCACGTTTAGAAACATTGTGTATACCGAAGTTTTAGTCCCTACTACTTCTAGATAACCATATTGCAACGTATGAGCATCAATGGATCTTCCCCAAACCTAAGTACAAGTGGTCAATTTCAGTGTTCTTTCATCTTGTTTATCTAATTGTTCAAAAACTGATATACGTCCATATGGATGTATTGGGAGACTTTATATGTCCATATGGAGACTTTATATGTCCACGTGGATGTATTGGGAGACTGTATGTGTCCATATGGATGTATTGGGAGACTTTATATGTCCATATGGATGTATTGGGAGACTTTATATGTCCATAAGGATGTATTGGGAGACTTTATATGTCCATATGGATGTATTGGGAGACTGTATGTGTCCATAAGGATGTATTGGGAGACTTTATACGTCCGTATGGATGTATTGGGAGACTTTATAGTCCATAAGGATGTATTGGGAGACTATATGTCCATATGGATGTATTGGGAGACTTTATATGTCCATATGGATGTATTGGGAGACTTTATATGTCCATAAGGATGTATTGGGAGACTTTATATGTCCATATGGATGTATTGGGAGACTTTATATGTCCATATGGATGTATTGGGAGACTTTATATGTCCATAAGGATGTATTGGGAGACTTTATATGTCCATATGGATGTATTGGGAGACTTTATATGTCCATATGGATGTATTGGGAGACTTTATATGTCCATATGGATGTATTGGGAGACTTTATATGTCCATATGGATGTATTGGGAGACTTTATATGTCCATATGGATGTAGAGACTTTATATGTCCATATGGATGTATTGGGAGACTTTATATGTCCATAAGGATGTATTGGGAGACTTTATATGTCCATATGGATGTATTGGGAGACTTTATATGTCCATACGGATATACTGGGAAACTTTATACGTTCATATGGATGTATTCTGAGACTTTATACATCCATATGGATGTATTCGGAGACTCCCACAAAACCTGTTTATACTAAAGCATGATGTGTAAAACTGATGGGTAATTATAATGAAAAAGCAATCTTGTCGAAACATATATAACAAAACCTACAATAACTATACATTTCATCAGCCGAATGTACAGAGGTAATTTAACAGACGCGGGGTTCCTTGCAAACTTGGTAGTCATCCTCCCTGGCATTTCACAATTCAGTTTCTATATCACACCTCGCGTACAAATGTTGCTTGTTTCTCATGGGTTTTTTTCTCGCTCATTCGAATTCATCTCAGTCTTCCTCCACACTTTTCTTTTCCAATATATTTATGTAATCTGCATTTGAAGTTTGTTCCAATCATTGGGATCATGCCCTGGCTCACTGAATCGATTAATGTTTACTTTACATGGGAAACTGGCGCCTATGGTAATTTCGATGCTATTGCGTCTTAAACTAAGGCAATATTTAAAACATATTTAAGTGCAATGGACGATATAGTGTTTATTGCCGTGAAGGGGAAACTTTATGTCAACATGTTACAAGTTTAAACTGACAAAGCTGTATAAAATAGTTCCAGATGATGAAGATGCATCGAGTGAAAGTCTAGTTTTCAACTTACCAAATCGGAGTTGAATTTCAGTCTACAAATTTATCAATATCGTCCTAATAAAAAAGTCAGGAGTAATAAAGAAGACTCGAAGTATATATGTAAGGTGGCTGGGTCCTTCGGGTTTCAGTGTAGAAAACGATTGGGAATTATCTTGAAGAAGTATAGGGCTAATGCAGATGAAATGAATAAAATACCTCTAAATTGTTTTTGTGATTGACACGTACTTTGACAAATTGGATATACATGGTGACATATCGTTCTTTAACGTAGGCGGAATTAAATAAACCAAGCATTTCTTCAACAGGAAGAAAAGAAATGTTTCTGGGCGTGTAATTCTTTTCAAATCGGATTCCAAGTAGGTTTCCTTTTAGACAAAGAAGAACAAATACAGAATTCCATAGATCATGTCCAGCAATCTTCTGCAGAGAACACGGGCGATGATATATTTACACAACTGGAATGACCTTCTTCCATGTTAGTGTTTCCCCCAGGGTCCAAACAGGGCAGGGCGACAGAATTTCAAAAGGGGCACCCCTATTCCAAAAAGGGCACGCAATGACAGATGTTAAAGTATTATGTTAAGTTATTCATGCATATGATTATTCAACTCTCAGCACAACATGAAATAGAAACTAAAAACAACCAAGTGTTAACATCAATTATTGTATCAAATAATTAAGAAATACACTTCGCTCTACCACCATGTATAGTGTAATAAAACACACTTTTGCCTTTAACTATAATAGTTCAGGGCAAAAGTGTGTTTTATTACACTATACATGGTGGTAGGGCGAAGTATATTTCTTTTCTAAGATGCCAAATTTAATACTTTCTAAAGATAATTACGATTAATTTAAGGCAGAAAACAAACGACGGTGTCGGTGGCCTAAATCAAGAATCCTCGCACAGGGCTAACTGGCGCGCTGTTCTATTGATGTGTCTGCCCCCTACGTTAAGACGAACGTTACCAGAAAAAAACAAATGATAACAGTTTGATGACGGTTTACGTTCGGATGAAATATCTTCTCTGAATTATTTTAATTACATCTGTCATTAACGTAAACCATATGGGGCAATATGAACGTTGCATTTCTACTACCAGCGTAAGTTTAGATCAGTACATCCAGAGGAAGTTGAGTAGTCAAGCGACATTCCACAATTGCATTGTGGGAATGTAAACATTACGAACGTTACCGTGTCGCTGAAAACTTGAGTCGAAATGACACGTTTTAACCGTCGTAAAACATAAACGTAATGTTTGCACCAGTGATGTTAGCTGCGTGAAGTAACAGCAAACCAAGAAACTGGATGCAACGGTGTAGTTTACTGTAGGAGGCCGTACGAGGCGATGACAACTGAGATGCATCGTGACGTCGCTTACATTGTGACGTAATGTAAAATAGTTCGATTACGAGGAGGCACACTAGAATGGCGCAGTGACGGGATAACGTCATTCAATTGTTACGTCATCAAAAAACTATACCTTTATTGTCTGATAATGTATTTTTTTTCGATTGTTCTAACCGCTAGGCATCTTAGAACATGAAATAGAAACTAAAAACAACCAAGTGTTAACATCAATTCTTGTTTCAAAGAGCACAACATGAAATGGAAACTAATAACAACCAAGTGTTAACATCAATTATTGTATCAAATAACATGAAATAGAAACTAAAAAGAAACCAAGTGTTAACATCAATTCTTGTTTCAGAGAGCACAACATGAAATGGAAACTAAAAACAACCACATGTTAACATCAATTATTGCATCAAATAACATGATACAGAAACTAAAAACAACAAATTGCTAACATCAATTATTGTAGCAAAAAGCCCAACATGATATAGAAACTAATATAAACCAAGTGTTAATATCAATTATTGTATCCAAAGAAGGAGAGTGTGCTACGCCCTGCTGAAAATGTATTTGGGAGACACTACATGTTAAAGAAAATTGTAACACTTGACGGTAAGCTTTGCTGTGTAATCACTTTTTCCAACTTGTTCTGAATAACAGAAAAAGTCGCAGCGGTTAAATGTTATCTTACATAAAATGTAAGTAATACGGTAATATGAAATAGAAGTCATAAGTTGAACAAACGCCCACTTTTGTGTAAAATGTTAAATATACAGTATATATACAGTAATATATACAGTATACATAAATGTCTGTCTGTAATGGGTTTGTAAAAGGTTAAGTGGTTCAGAATACATAGTGTGTAAAATTATGAGGATGTATTTTTATCTTTTGATTTCATGTGTGATGTATTCCATTCATAAAATCTAAATATAAGTGATTCCAAATGTATCTTTAGATACACAGCCACGAAGCCCATTTCTGGGTTTTAGGTGAATTCTCTACTAAAATCAGATAAGAAGCGTTTATGAATCACTATCAAATAGTGATGATACAAGGTGTTCGTGAAACAGTGAGCGTATCCTGATAACCATGAACCCGTGAAGATCCGGGTTAGCATTGATTTTAGGTAACCCATGCTTGGCGTAAGATGCGGCTAATGGGATTGGGTGGTCAGGCTCTCCGACTTGGGTGACACATGTCATCGTATCCCAATCGCGTAGATCGATGCTCATGCTTATGATCACAGGACTGTCTGGTCCGGACCGCCGCCATTTAGCTGGAATATTGCGGAGTGCGGCGTAAAACTGAATTCACTCACTCACTCACTCACTGCTAACCATGATCTAAGCGTTGATAGACATTTCGCTGCACAAAAGGAGAGGGGACGACAGCGTTCTTTACGGCTGCACTTCATTGATTTGTTTTTAGCGGCAAGAACCGGCAATACAACGAATCGTCACGTAGCACAAAATTACCTCGACGTAGGCGTCTCACACATTGTATACAGGAGCAGCTGATTGCAACTGTTCCTGCTTGGCATTTGTCTGCATCCTGGACACAAACCAATTGTTTTTTAACATTGCTACTGGCGACGTGTTGATGCATGGCAACAATGTTTTCTGGTCTTGAGGTTTAATCATGTTGTTATCCGTCTTTTTTGCAGTATTCATCATCTGCTGGAGCCCCTACTTTGTGTTTGATCTCGTCGATGTCTACCTCAATGTACCGAGGACACAAGACATGGTGGCCGCCAGCACATTTATTCAGAGCCTCGCTCCCCTCAACAGCGCTGCCAATCCAATAATTTACTTTGGTTTCAACGCCAAAATGTGCATAGGGATCTTAAAGAAAGGTTGGAAGCACAATTCGCCAACGTCTCAATCACAGCTCACAAGTATATGACCTTTCGACCTTGACCTGCATTGACAGAAAAGGGGGCCATGGCATACTGCCACAATACTGTCACTCAATGCCGAATGTTACGCATTTACAACAAGGGACACCAGTGATTTCAATGGATATTGAAAACGGCCCCTATTTATTATATTGGTGTACGTCTTGAATTGTGTTCGTGATCATGACATTAAGGTAACCTTGGTGACCACATTTCAGTGTCATGAAGGACGTGATTGTTTCGTGTGAAACTCTATCAAAGGCAGGCTGACTGCATGCACTCCATGATGAAATGCAGTGGACTTCTAAGTTACAGCAATGAATATCAATCTGGAGAAATGAACCCGTTCGTGCGTTCGTTTTCGATGTCCTTGGACCAAACTGAAAACTGTTGACGGGTTAAATTTGAAATATTTGAGAGAAACGGCATTGTTGTTTTGTCAACTTTGTATGGTCCATTCTGTAACTTGCATATGTATCAGGCTTGAGACTACGTGGTCACTGCAGCGTGTTAATCAAACTCTCAATCACTAGGTGAGATAATGTTTCATATTTGGATGAATATTACATTCTTGTCTCTTTAGCTTTAGCTGTTTTCTCCTTTCAAGGAAGCAAAAAATATTCTACACAAAGATAAAAAATATATTATTTATTTCACAGGTTAGCTATAGCAATAGAAGGCATGGAATCCGGTATTCCTTAACTTATTTTGAGTAGTATGTAGGATTTTAATACACTTCAACTCATTTAACACTAAGTCTTCATGACAGTTGTCACGCGTTACCGAATAAACCCAGCAAGCATGTTTTTATGACGTCCTCTGAAAATGCCTTGTCGATGTAAGTTACTCTGATATATTATTCTTAAGTGGTTTCAACGCTATCACCAGAGACTATTGTCTTATGCCCCGTATATTGTCATCACGCGGTATTTTTTATTATGGTAACTGTTTGTATGAGGTATGAGTTTTAAATCTCTGATCTTAACATTTTGTTGTCTTTACTTTCAAGTATTACACTACAATATATCTGGCTGAAATGTTTTAATAATGTGTTTTCCGTATTTTTAAGTCATATTGAGATTTAGTTTGAAAACATTATATAATTTCAAGAGGTTTTTTCATGTTTTAGGATATATTTTTTCGACGTTTGGAATTTTTCTGTGATAGTAATACCGTATGTAATGCATGTGCACGTTGTGTGAATTCATTTCTCTTTCTCTATTTCTCCAATCAGATGCCTGTCATAATACATTGTTTAATGTTTGTTTTCTGAAATAAAGCAATGTCTAAGCTGTAGTTATTTACACTGACTACTGGCATTGTCCATATTGTCATGGGGCGGTGTCATGGGTGAAATGTGTGAAGCCCTTTTCTGATGTACCCGCCGTGATATTGCTGGAATATTGCTAAAAGCGGCGTAAAATCCCACTCACTCACTCATCATATTGTCATGTACACATATACAAACATATATTACATATGTGTATGTATCGTGTACAAATGAGCATTAATTAAGCACCACCTGAACCCAAAGCAGTTTGAATTATTTTGAAACACATGTTTTATTTGGAATTACACTTTCTCAGTGACGTACAGATTCTAGTATACATTTGTTGGGATTCGAACCCCCACTCTCAGATTCAGACACCTAATTGCCAGCACACAAAGTCAGCCATCTAACCCACTCAGCTACCGCGGCTTCCACAAAAATGGAAGTCGGACAACTGGTCGTCTTGACCGCGGACATCTCTGGGACTTTCCTTGGTGTCAAGTTCGAGCTGGAGATCCCTTGTTCCAAATCTGCAACAACAAAAAATGACGCAGGCACTCCGTGATGAATGACCAAGGATTCAGATGCTGAGAATTCTGCACTTGATTGCCAGCATGAGGAGGAGACTGGCAGATGCTATCCGTGCCGGATGTTATCACTGTAACTGATGTGGTCGCCTGTGGTTGTTCATGCAATCTCAACAATCATTATTTAAGACTGTGTAACAATCAGATTGGTGGTGCAGTAATGGTGGCCATACTTCCCGGCATTGTTGATGTTCAGGATTGTATGCATTCATCAAAGATTACTATTAATTTTTCCCAAATTTCTGTTTTGATTTTGTTTTCAGAGTAAAATATGTTGCAGTCAACACCTCAATATTTAAATGTTTTTCAAAAGCATATACAATAACATGTAGTGTTTTCCTACTTATCATGTCACAACAATGGGTGGTGCTTGTTTAAATGCTTATGTGTTTACATCATGCAACTGCAGACTCATATGTTATTCGAGATGCCATTCATTTTTGAAAGTTGAACATTCTAACCCGTAACGAATTATTTGTCAACCTGTAATTTTTTAGTTTTTTTAGTGGAATAGTTGGAACCCGATAATCCTTACGAGGATCCACGGTCCTACCTCACTGAATCAGGATCATGCAGTTACATTAACCTATGTTGTTGGTAGTACACGTGTATCTCTTCAGTGGTCATATCCCAGGGTGTATCTACAATCTGTCGAGTCCGATTGCAGTCGATATTGAGTTACGTGCTCAGTAACTGTACATGTGTCATCAAACTATGATTACAGTGCATGATATAAGAGGGATACTAGATGATCCGTGCCCACTGTGATTCGTACCCAACGGAAATGGCTTAGTGATACCCAAAATTATCGTCACGCTCGTATCGTCGTACCTATGGACGACCCGTACCAAAATTTGGATGACCCGTACATAAGTTTTACTATAATTTCTTTGGGTCATATCTATTTTCATTGGGTATGGAACCACCTTTTGGTACGAGTCATACACATGTACTAGTGGGTAAGGGTTGTCCAACCAAAGCGTTTGGTTACGAATCTCCATAGGTACACATTGTTTTGTTCCAGTGTATGTGCACGCCCAATTCAGATGACCGACCTTGCTGTTGGCTGAATATTGTAATGGCAATGGGCATGTTCTGGGTTGATGCCTGCTTCAATATGTTCTTGTATGTTACCACTAAAACGGTGTGTCAACCCGACAACAACCACTGATTCTGTCTCTCTCCTTGAATCATAGACAAGAGTTGTTTGCCAGAACTGCCGGTTCGAACCCAATTGGCAATGATTATAATTCTTGATTTGTAAAGAGCTTCAACAAAGGGTAAACACTCCCTGACGTGCATCAATTTGTGTTTTTCTTGCAGCATTAGGCTTTCACGCCGAAATGGAACCAAAATGGAACCGAAATAATCTTCATTGTGGAGTTTAGTCCAACTACTCCTACGCACTCGCGGCCTAGCTTGAATTGTGTTCCTCAAAGATAGCATTTTTTTGTATCGGTGCACATAAAGCAATTTCCTTGAAAGATTTTTCATCGGGCATTTATCACAGATATCCTCATGTAACTGATTAAGCTGATATCTTACCTCTGACTTGGATATATTCTAAATGTGGACGGCTACAGGTAGCATATGCCTCTATCGTATAGCTGCAATCTAACGGTTTTAACATCTGAGATGTGAATAACACTTATTGCTCCAGTCGACAAAAAGATCACTTTCGGTTATCCCAATGGGCTTAGAGTAAATTAATTGTTTCGTTTAACAAGAAGATAACAATTCAAGTGGTTTCAGGAAGGATGAGGAAGGTTCAGCATACTCAATCAACCTCCGTAAAACAGTTGTCTTGAAATCTCATCTTCTTGAGAAATCAGTGATGTTATTGCTGAATTGGCAAATTTATCTGTATACGTCGATTTTAGTTTAAGTTGTCAAAAACATTTTCATCCATGTTTCTAACGAATGATAAAGCGGTACGTATTACCTTATAGTCTCTGATCCTTGAAAAACATCATGTTATTTCACAACAACCCTAACTACAGTTCGATTCAGTTATTTCTTGAGGCTTAGTTTTAATTCTCAGACATCAGCCCACAGACTTTCACAGAAATATGCCTTTGCAGTGGTGGTTGTGCAATATGTTTTTAATGGATTCAGAATTTTTTTATGTCATTTAAAAATGACGTGAATGAATTTAGCCTAAAGTCTCAGTCTCCTCAATTCAAGCGGAATTAAAAGCTAAATTTGGCTAGGAAACCAGTCATTTTAAATATGCGGGTTGTTCTCTGCTGTCAAGGCACGATGACACATAATCATTTTGAAAACTCTTGCTAAGTAACGCGGACCTATTACGCCCACAAAGGCCTATCCACTTGGAATCCTCACTGGGAAATCTCACACACAGACAAACATGAGGTTCATGGGCCCTATTGCGACTCGCTATGTGTAATGGTTCCATGAACAAGTTATTTAAAACACAGACAGCAACAACAAAAACAACATAATAAGATATATGGGTAGTTGATTATTGGTTTGGAACAGCATTTATGGCACCTTGCATGGTAACATGTTCATGAACAACAACTCGACTCATATGTCAACAGTTATCCTATGTTGAGGACGGTGGGGTAGTCTAGTCACGCCGAAGACCCGGGTTCGATTCCCCACATGGGTACAATATGTGAAGCCCATTTCTGGTGTTCCCCGCCGTGATATTGCTGGGATATTGCTAAACGGGGCGTAAAACACAACTCACTCACTCATCCTGTGTTGAAGTGCAGAATGGTAATTTGTCTGAACGCCTACCAGGTAAATCCTGAAGCTACTAATGTCATCAATAACATAATATCCACCATGTACATCGGCCAATAATATGCTCTCTGTCTTTCTCAGCCAGAATCCCTGCCTTCATACACACGACCTTCGTTATAGTTGTTATTGTTTTGGGAATGTTCGCCTCTTCCAGCCATGTTCACATTGGGCAGTACAAAGTCTGCATACTATAATTCATTGCCTTCACCATGTATTAAGGTGACAGGTCTGCGGCTGTCCTTGTAGCCAGTGTTTTTGTACTGGAACAACAGCAAATTAAGGGGCATTCGTGTATCACCTTGGAAGTGGAGTCCCAAAGCGTGGTATCTGGCTGAATGTCGTAAGAAACACGCATGTTAGGAATGGCGAGCCTGCAGATGGCACGAACACAATTATCGGCTTCGAAGTTCCGACTAATCTCTCTGTCATTTGAGAGAAATGCTCTTTTGGCTCTGCCTCTACTCTGTACTGGGACATCTGTCACAAAAGTCCGTCCGTCAGGTCCGTCAAGTCATCAATATGTGGACGATACACACCCCTACTACAAGCTTTCCCCTGTTCTACAGTCACAAACAAGCCTTCCAACAATTCTCGTGTACTGACCTGCTGCTGTATACGTTGTACTTAAGATACCGGTTGATTTGTTTTGTCCCATTTCTGATTTTCTATAACATTTTCTTCCCCTTCGCATAACCTAATTGTGACAGCACTTACTCAGGTTACTTCTTGGTCGAAGAGATGGTAGATCGGATGTGTCATCTTTGCCCCTGTTAGTACTTGGGCACCATTGCCCTCTATCATTAAGGAGTTATCTTATTTGCCTGATTAATCAGAGAGCACAATCCATGGGTTTACACTCAGGATTGAACCTATTTCCAAGTGTAAAGCTTGCTGAAGCTGATTCGTGGATGTGCCTCTCATTCAGCGAGATTGAGGTTGTCCAGAAGGACTCTGGTCGTGATATATTCGACCGTCGCCGATAGGTACTAAAATTTTGCGGTCTTTTTGGCGGGCACCTGAAATGCAAGTACCTGAATTTTCTCTGACTTGAATGCAAACTGATGCGTCTTGTGATTGGTCGTCAGACCTGCAGCATAAATCCAGAAGAGTTTCACTGGAAGCAGTAACTAGGAACCGCAAAAAGTTTAAAATCAAGCGCAGCAGCCATTTGGTGAGAAGAAAGGGGAGGTTACTCCAATGTAGTGAGTGACTAGTCACCACCAAAATAATTTAAAAAGGTGACAAGCACTCAGAATAACCAGGAGTCAGACATGGGGTACGGAGAACCAAGTTTTACATGTCCATGGAGGTAGTTGTAGAAGAATGATGGACGTTCTTGATATACTCGTATGTGGTCTAGTTTGCAGGAAACATCTCTCATAATACATTTAATCGGTGAAGGTGTTCTAGCAATATTAAAGGTACAGTGTGATTGCAATTCAGAATTTGAGTCTACGGAAGGCCAGCCGTGTTTGAAAACATGAGGAACGATTCACACCATCAGTTGCTCCCGTGGTTATTGAACGATACTAGACCATCGTTGTACCTGAAGCTAAAGAAACAGATCCGCAAGGATGGGAGAACATTTGCAGTGCATGGGAATGTTTTACCCCAAAACTTCTCATAGATGTTTTCTCAGTTAACTTCAAATGATATTTGCTTTCATTTTTGACACATTGTCCTGAACCTAAATTCACACGATCGGCGACATAAAGATTTACAAATGAGAAAGTCAGAAGCCAATGACAATATAATTAAATGCCGATTCATTAACGTCTACAGAGCGGTTTCCCATAAATGTCAAGGCTGTATTGAAGAACAGTAAAAACGGTGTTACAGTAAAACGTAGCGCTCGCATGACGCATACCACATAAAGCTTTTCATGACTGAACCTTCTTTGTTAGTTGGTAAGCAAAGACAAGGCAATATGAAAGAGATTGTCCAGTGAAATCGGATAGGAAGAGTTTCGATGGACACGCAGGAAGAAACGACAATGTATGAGATGTGCAATATTCAAGCTATACAGCACATATGTGAATAATTTTACCACACCCTGCCACGCAAACGAATAAAGTCTCACGCGCGTACACCACCAAACATTTTATCCACACGATTCCTATCAGTTGGATGAGGTGAATGAGTTTAATTTTACGTCGCTGTTAGCAATATTCCAGTAATACCACGGCAGGGGACACCAGAAATGGG